ACCTTATGCTGTTTTTTGGTGAGAATGAAGAGAAGGTTGATTGACCTCTCTTGACTTTTGCAAATAAGCTTGACCATAGTTTACTCAAGACTTCCTTATGTTTGTTTATATCTGAGATATTAGCTTTTGCAGAAGACGTGTTGTTTTGTTCAGGACGTGATGCTGTTGTTGTTTTGTTTTCTTTATTATTTAGACTTTCAGAACACGTCTTAGAGTTAGACGTGATTGTATTGCTATCTTGATTCTTCTTTTCTTCAAGAGCCCTTTTTTCATTTTTTAAAGTAACTTGCTCATTCCAACTAATATTATCTAAAGAGTCGTCTTGCATAGAGTCAGCAAAAACTTCTTAACTGATTTCTGTTGCCATAGTATTTTCTTTAAGAAAAGATTTAATTTCTGTTTTTACTAGTTTTTTTGTTGAAAAGTTTGTTGCCAATTTAGTTTTCTTGTTTCTATAGACTTCTAAAGTAAAAGTCTTGCGCTTTCTAGGAACAAGAGGAAGAGCCCCTGTTCTGTTACTGTTTTTAAAGTAAGTAAGGCCCTGAGTAGTGTGTATTTTGTCTTTTCAAAATTACTCTCTTTCCTAAACGTGAAGGTCAGGAGAGAGAGATCGTCATCATAATAATTTTTATTAAATTTATCTAATAAAATAAATTTACAAACTCTAACAAAACTATTACAAAATGTCTTTTAAAAAAATTGTAAACTTTTTTAAATGTGGACAAAAAAAAATAAATACATTCGATGAAAGTATTTATAGATGGAATTATTCAATTTCGTCAGCAATTCATAAAGAAGTTTTTAAAAATTCCTTATCAACCACTGAAGAAAATGAGCAATTCAAAATAGAAATCGAACATGAAATTTTAAAACAAAACAAAAATAATTACAAAGTATTTACAAGTTATGAATTATTCAGAGAATATTTATTTTAAAATAATATAATTACATCTTTATATATTAACTATGATACAAAAAAAAAAAAACTAATTAATCATATTTCATATGCTGAGTATCATATAAGAGCACATTTTTATAATTGGGGTAAAGGTTTATATTATTATGTGATGAATGATAGTATGAACCTTTTGGAATTATGAACAAAAGAATATAAAGAATTAATTAAGTTTTGTTTCGAAGTTATAAATGAAGAATGCGAACAATATAATATAATGTATTTGTAGACTTGGTTTGATCAAAAAGAATATGCTAAAAATCATCTTATTTATTAAAAATATTATATATAATAATAATTGTAAATAAATTAAAAAAATTGGATTCAAAAGCAACTCTTTTTGCTAATCTCTTTTTTCAAATACAGCTAAAGTAAATATACTAAGAAAACACAAAACCAGTGCAACAAACTATATTGAGACCTCTAAGAAAAAAGACTCAGCACACAAAACACAAATACTTTGTCTTAGCAACAATATAAGCAAAGTCTTGAAAAACAAAATTTTTTCTGGCTTTAAGAATTTTTGACCAAATTTTGAGAAAAACAGAAAAGTATGCTAGACCTAGAAAACAACAACAGAGCACATGACCAGCTATCAATATAAACAACAACAAACAACAGTGCATCACATTAAACAACAAACAACTATATTAGAAAATATAGATAAGTACAAGCACAGCCACTAAATAGATGGACAAGCAACAAAAAAGTCTAGAAATGGAAGTACAAACAAGAATAGGATTGCCATTAGACACAGATTTAATTTAACATATTAGAGGGTTCAGAGATAGAAACTGTAGACATATAGATAGCAAGATACTAAATAAAATTTTATCAAAATGCATTAGAAATCCAAATAACCTAGAATATATAGCAAAAGATCTAGCAGTTTACAATTCAAAAAATATTACAGTAAAGGATTTACTTCTTTATGACCAAATTCTTAAAGTGCTTAGAATAGCTGAAGTGTGTATGATGCTACATAATATTATCAAGAATAGGCAACAAAGCTATTAGCAATAGATGTAAACCCAGGCTTTTTCAATTCTCAAATGAATTTTAATGAGGAAGAAATAATTAAAAAAAGAAACAAAAACAGAGAAAACCAGAAAGGTTAAAGAAGTGAAAAAGAAAGAAATTGCTATGCCAGAAAAAGAAAAAAGAAACCAAGAACAAGCAAGTAAAAAAAGAAAAGATAAACCAAGATCTAAAGAGAGTTATAGGACAAATAAAAGAACTGAGTATCTCAATTACACAACAATCAAGTTTTAGTAACTCTCAAGATACAGTTTCAGAAATGTTATCAGTGAGTACAACAAAAGAAAAGACCAATGGTAAAAAAACAAACTGAAGAAGACTAAGAAACATCAATAGATAACAGAATATACAATTTAAGGAAAAACATCAAAGATATAAATAAGAAAATAATAGAGCTAAAAGCAAAGGAAAAGAATCAAGAAACACTAACACTTACAGACACAATTGAAAATAGTCAATAGTTACTGAAAAACTGTATATGTGACAAAAGTAAATTTTTTAAAGCAAATATTCCAACGTATATAGTACTAGGAGAAAACAAAAAAGAAAGATTAAAATATACCTAATGAATCTTTTGAAGAAACCATCACATCAAATTAATTCAAGAAGTTTTTAAGAAAGGTAATAGTTGGATGAAAGTTGACTTTAACTGTGAGTTTAGTAGAGATGCAGCAATAAAAAGAATTAAAAAAAAAGAAGGTAAATAGCTCAAAATCATTCCAGAAGAACCAAAAAGACAAGAAAGAAAGCAGTATTAGCAAGCATATAAAGACAAAGAAAGAAAAGAAAGAAAGTCAAAAAATTATACTAGACAAAAAGAAGTAGGCTATAAAGAAGTGAAACACTTAACAAAAGAGGGTTTGAAAGCAATGTTATACATAATGATATGGGATCTTCCAACAAATATTAATACAAAAGAAGTAAAATATATGTGCAAAAACATTAAAGAAGCACAGATAGAATATATTAAAAGATCCAAGTACAAAGCATTAGCAGTAGTTAAAACAAAAGAAATAGAAAAAGAAAAGATTCCATAGTTACTACCAATAGGAGTACATAGACTAGCAAGAGTAATGTTAGGTAAAGAAGATTATAATTAATATAATATGCAAAGTCAATTTACAACAAGGTTAACAGAGCTTCCAGGTAATGCATTAGAAGGATTACTATTATGCTGTCTAAAGAAAAGAGAAGCAAGATCTGTATATATACTACCTAATAGAAATGGAAATTAAAAAAGATCAGCTACAATTACTTTTGCATCAATAAAAGAAATAGAAGCAGCACAGACAAAGCCAATAAGATTCAACAATTATCTACTTTTTTGGCAAAAGTTTAAAGAAGAAAACACAAACACAAAACACATCAATAGTGATAATATTAGTGAAATCTCTGATATAGAGGAATACAGATACAATAGAAGCAATAGACGAGAAAAGAAGATCAACAAAAATAATATATATGAAGAAGATAAAGAAAGCTTAACAACTAAAACTCAGAAGCAAGAAAGAAGTAAAAAGAAAACAGCAACCCAGACTCAACATCAAAAAGAAAATTCTCACATTGAAAATATCCTAGGCCGAATACTAGAAAGATTAGAAAAACTAGAGAAGAAAGGAGAAGGAAATGGGATAGATCAACCTAATTGCTCCTAAAGGTGCCATAGTTGAATCAATGAATTTAGACAAGGAGATAGAAAATTTTTTATGAGAGGAAAGAGAGATGTTTGAGAAAAGAAAAGAAATAAAGTCTTCTTGTCAAGAAGATAAAGAGTTGAACAGAGAAAAGAGAAAAATAAGAAGTATAAAGACAAAATGAAGACCTTTAAAAGAAAAATGAAAAGAGAGAAAAAAGAAAATAAAGGTGGCATGTCATAATATTAATAGACTCAAAACCAAAGGTTGGAAACTGGAAAATCTGCCCAATTAAGCAAAAAAAAAAGAAATTTTAATAATAGAAATTATGGTGACGAATCTTACAGAAAGAGAAGAAAAATTTCTAACACATGCAGCAAACAAAAGATATGTAGGTTTTTGAACAAGTGCAGCAAAGGATAAGAAGAAAGGGTCAGGTGTTGGAATTATGATCAATGAACAATAAGAAAAGCACATAAGTGCTGTCAAGAAAATAAATAAATATATGATAAAAATTATACTATATTTTAAACAATTGAAATTAGTAGTGATTGTGGTATACATGATACCAAATAACAAAGTAGTAGGAAAAAACATTCAGCAAAAAATCATAGAAACAGTTTTAAAAAGGAAAAGACAAACACAATTTATTGTGATAGGAGATTTCAATCATATAGTAAACAATACTCTAGACAAATAATACCTACAAATAACAAACTTCAAAAGACTACCAATCTTCAATTGGATAAAGAACCAAGACTTTAGAGACACATATAAAGACTTGAATCCAATAGGTCAGCAGTACATGTAGTCAAATGAAGAAGCAGCAACAAGAATTGACTATATATGGATATCAAATAGTTTAGTCTCAGGTTTACAAAAGGCAGAAGTTGAAGAGGCAGAAGAAATTACAGAAAGTGATCACAAGATAGTAACAGTAAAAATATGGATCAAACACATGATAGTAGCTAAAAGCAAGGCAGAGATTAAAAGAAAAAAACAGTCAAGAACAATATATCTATATGATCAAACAAAATTAGAAGATTGGAAAAATTATGCACAAAAGTTGCAAAATCGGCTAGAAAGAAAAGAAGTTCTAAAAAACATTCACAAGAAAGAACATAATAAAAAAAAGAAAACAGAGAAGATAAACAATATATGGGACATAATAGAAGAAGCTATTGTTATAGCAACAAGTAAACACATATCTAAGAAAAAACTATTTAACACAATGACTAACAGAAGAAGAAGTCAGAAGGAATAGCAACAGGGAAAAAACATTGTCAAGCTACAGAAACTAATCAAGTATGCAAAAGTGAAGAAAACACAAGCAGTAATGAAAAAAGAAAGAAATAAAGTGAACGAACAATTAAAAATACTAGACAAGGAAATCAATGCAAAATTGTCAAAACTACAAAGACAATGGTCAAATGTGTGGATAGAAGATATAAAAGGTTAAAGAAAGCTATTAGTGAAAAGGAAAAAGATGAACTGAGAGTATACATAAAGGAAACAAATAGAAGAGAATATAGATAAAAGATGCAAAATGATCAAAACAAATCAGAAAAAGATGATAGTAAGTCTCCTGAATAGGCCTTATAAGAAGATAACACTTGACAGAGTTATCATACAAACTGAAGAAAAAGCAAATTTACTAACAAGCCTAGAAGATGTTAAATAGAAGTAGCAGAGCATTACAAAAAACAATTCAGGAAAAGAAATACAAGATTAGAAAAGATGTCAAAAGAGTAGAAAGAAATATATAAACCATGAGAAAACATCAAAGAGGAATGGTACACAGAAGTGGAAAAGAAAATTGAAGAAAAAGAATAGGAAGAAACTTTAAGAAAACTAAAGACAGGAACAGCTCTAGGCATATCAGACATAAGTTACATCCTGATAAAATGAGCAGGAAAGAATGCACAAGAAGTATTTAGAAGCTTTGCAGACCTATGCCTAAAAGAAGGAAAGATACCAATAAAATAAAAGATAGCACAAGTTTACCCAATACCCAAGGATGTTGAGTGAAGATATAGTTTAAACAATATATGACCAATAGTATTAATAGAAATATTTAGGAAAGTTGTAATGAAGGTGGTAACAAAAAGGCTTGCCAAAATGTTTACAGAAAAAGAAATACTCAAAGAACCAAATTACGCAGGCCTTCCAGGCAACTCAACAGAACAACTAGTACATATCCTTATTATGATAATGAAAAAAGCAAAAAAAAAGAGTAAAGAAGTATGAATACTTTTGCAAGACATAA